TCTGCTTCTCCCTCTGACCCTCCTCCCTCTCATGTTCTCTGTCTCTCATTCTCTCTGTCTCAAATAAATAAATAAAATCTTTAAAAAAAAAAAAAAAAAGAGAATGTAAAGAAGATGAGGGAGACTGGGTTAACAAACTCCAGGGGTATTCTGCAATGTTTTTTCCTTAAACAGAAAAAATATCCTCTTTCCCTCCTGGTTTTCTTATGACTTGCCATCTCATCAAGTGAGATAACAAAAAAGCCCATTAGTATATTTGTGCATTTTCTTGGATTCTTAGTTAATTGAGAATTAGTACTGTGAATAACTTATATACCAACTTTAAGATACGAACCTTATTTTTAAAACATAATGTAATAGCTCGGATTTAAAAAAAAAAAAAAAAAGATCATTTTAAAGGCTCCTTCAAAAAGCCTAAAAGAAAAAAAGTCATTCACCCTCTACATTGCATTAATGGATATCAACTAAGATGCAAATTGGTTGTAATGCTTTTTTTTCTTTTGGCAGTAATGGTTCATTTATTTTCTTCCTGTATTACTTTTCCTAAAGAAAATACAGTGACAAATTATGTAGTAGGCTAATGTTCCAAATTTTAGAAGACACACTAATATCATATTGAGAAGTTCATTTAATTTTTCCCCATAATATATTCTAGAAGTTTTAAATACATATATGCAGTTTATTTGGAATTTGTTTTTGTCCTCTAATAGTACAGCTTGTCTTAAACCCTTCTTTTCTTCTACTCCTTGTCATTCCCCCCACCATGGGCAAAAATTTTCTTTTTTTTTTAAGATTTTATTTATTTATTGGAGAGAGAGAGAGAGAGATGGAGAGAGTAAGCATGAGCGGGGTGAGAGGCAGAGGAAGAAGCAGGCTCTCCACCGAGCAGAGAGCCTGATGCGGGGCTAGAAGAAGAGAATAATAACACTTTCTACTTCAAAGAGTGTTTATAAAGAGTAAATCAGAGGGTTTAGCAGAATGCCTGGCACATACATGGTAAGCATTCAGTACATGTTACTGTTATTTTTATTATTATATGGCTTATACCTCTTCTAATTCTTCACCTTAATGACACACTTTGCTTTGCCCACTTTCTATGTGAAGAGAAAGTCACAACACATTGTGCTTCTTAAAGGAACCCTCAGACCTATTAAGTAATCCTTTTCATTTCTTGCTGACCTCTTTTTGCATGATTTATTGTAGCTATTCTAAACCTCTTTCTCTACTCTGAAGATCCTAATACCTCTTCTGTAACTATTACTTTCAGTGATGTTCATATACCCTAATTTATTTTTATAATATTGAGACCATATGCCTTGAAGTCCAGTGTCTCTGTACTTCATCTTACTTATCCTCACCTGCTATCTCAGAAAATGATATTTCTTATGTTCTAGGCTCTTGAAAATGCCTCTTTTTACTCTTTTGGGATACTGCTCCAATAAGTTTTATCTCCCCCATTTGCTTTCCTTGGTTTCCCCACTTCTCTGGGCTCAACTACTTGCAGTTCTTCTGACCATGCCATATGTTCTTTCCTGCCTCTATATCTTTTTTACAAACTGCTGTGCCTGCCTCTATATCTTTTTACAAACTGCTGTGAAGGAATTTCCCTTCATCCTCCTCCTCCTTCAAGACTCAGCTCTAGCATCATTTCCAATGTGGTTGGCTGCCCTTTTTATGCATTCTCATAACTGTCTGTCAATCCTCCATCAAGTGACTCTGAGCTTCCTAGAGAAACACACCATACCTCTGTACTCCCAGAACCTACCACCATGCCTGGCCCTTAGTAGATACCCAGCAAATGTTAGTGGGAGAAATATCTACAAATAAGCACGTCTTTCCTACAATTTAAGAATAAACTTTTGAGGGATGCCTGGGTAGCTTAGTTGGTAAGCGTCTGCCTTCTGCTCAGGTCATGATCCCAGGGTCCTGGGATCAAGTCCCACGTTGGGCTCCTTGCTCAGCGGGGAGCCTGCTTCTCCCTCTGCCTGTTGCTTCCCCTGCTTGTGCTCTCTCTCTCTCTCTTTCTGACAAAAAAATAAATAAAATATTTTTTTTAAAAAAAGAATAAACTTTTGAAAAAAGAATAAACTCTTCTTGACCCTGATTTGCTTGCCCTTCCTTTGACAAACATTCTACTTCCTTACCAGACATTCTCTTGCAATTTAGTATTCGATACAACTACTGAATCTACTGAGATTACTCTCTTGAAAGTCAGCAAAGAGCTTCCATGTGGCCCATGTCCTCCTTCTCAAGCCCCTCACTTGGCTTCTGTGACACAGTACAACATTGGTTGTCTTGGCACCTCACTGAACTTACCTCCCTTGACTCCTTAATTTGTTTCTCCAACATGAGTAATCCCAAGATTTCCTTCATTCAACCTTTTTTCTTCCTTCACTTTGTCCCTCCGTGAACTTACTCTTGATTTTAACCATTATCTCTGTGTAGATAACATGCGAAGTTTATTCCTAATCCAACTCGAGTCCCTATTACTCTACCAAGACCGAGTTCTACATTGTCATTTCTTCGCGTACAGACATGGCACTCATACTTCCACTTGCCACTGTCTCACCCCAAACAAATATTGTCTCACCTAAGACTGATCACGCCACTTTCCTAGTAAGGGCAGACTTCTCCTCAGAATCCTTCTTGTCATTTGCCTCTATTGCTTGGCACAAATGCTCTGTCTTCTTGGAATCCTTATTCCTCACTTATTCCAGGCATCTGCTTCCTGATGAACAATATAAAACCTACTAGTCATCGCTATAGTAGAACGTTTTCACTCATTTCCCAATAATACATGAAACTCAACATGTTTAAAACCAACTTATCATATTTGTCAGTCTTTAGCCTAACTTCCTCCTATTGACTACCCTAGTTTTATAAATCATTCCCCTTTTTCCCAGATAACTGCTAGTCATCTTTGCCTTCTCTTTTGTACTCCACCAATTTAGGTGTCAAATCTTTATTTATTCAATATTTATTCAAATATTCTCTCATTGATCCCTTCCTTTCTATTCTTGGGAACACCATCTTGATTCTGGCCCATATAGATAATAAGGTTATGGACTATAATAATACCCTATCACCTGGTCTTCCTGTTGCCAGGTTCTAAACCCTCCTCTCAGCCACCTTGCCTCCAGATCAGTCTTTCTAAAGGAAAACCTTGATTATATGATTCTCCAGCTCAAAATCCTTGACTTTTCTATTAGCCCTTAAATAATGTCTGCAATTCCTATCAATTTGGTAGAATAAAATTATCTTTGATTTTGGAGTCAAAAAGATTTGGATTCAAGTTCTGGCTACCACACTTACCTTTTCTGTAACTTTGAACTTATTGCCTGATTTTTATTCACTTATTTATTCAACATATATTTATTTAACACCTACTGTGTTCTAGGCTCTATATCAGATACTTGGGAAAGAGTGATGAGCCAAACAGACATTGTCCTTCCTTTCCTGGACCTCACAACATAGTAGACTTGTCCCTATTTTTTATTATCATAGTAATTCTAAGTATAAGTCATGTCTCCCTCTCTTGATGCTTTTAGCTCTTGGTTTGTGCTATGCAGGGTATTATAATGCTGTGTACTATGATTACTTGCATATGTGCTTTGTCTCTCAACCACAGTGTAGGTTCACTGAAAGGTAAGTACCACACCCCATTTCCATAGTGCAAGCACAGAGCTGTGTACATACTAGTTGTTAGTGAATTCTGCTGTGATGTTGTAGACCTAGGGTTAGTCTTTGTAGACCTACTATAATGCCTAGTAACTTTTTAAAGTTTCCTTTTGTCCTGTCAGAATTATGCACTAAAAAAGGAGGAAAAAAGTAATAGCCGTTTGGTTTCTATTCCTTCTAAGGCCTCTCCTTTTTAACCTACCACCCTGCCTACAACTTTAATAAGTAGAACTAACAGTGTTTGTAACTCATGTACCTTAAGTTTTTTGAAACTGAAAAACAAATGCACTCATGATAACTAGTTAGAAATATTGTCCATGTGCATACAATGGAATGTTAAAATAATGTGTTTTCTTTACTAAATAGCTTTTGGCTTGGTAATGAACAACATGTTGTTTTTCCCTAAGAAATAATTCTAGGACTTTAGTCCTGAACATTATATTTTATATTATATATTTTCAGATTGCTGTGTTTATGTTTCCAGCCATCTTACATTAAGTTAAGCATTTGTCTATCCAAAACAATAGATCAACTATAGCCAAATTATAACCATACCTTTCCTCTGCACACAAAATCCTATAAACAGCATGTGATCATATTGCTTCTAGAATTTATGATTGTTTTCTTCCAAAAGGAAGCTAAATTTAGCCTAGTAATTCTACATGCTCCCAAGGAAACAATGCCTGCTGTGATTTCTAGAATAAATGAATCTGAACCGCAGTTCCTTTACTTGACTAACTAAGAAAGTTTAAATATCAACCTAGTCATTACCACAGTTATTAAACCACATTAAAAAACAGCAAGGGGTTAAGAAAGAAATTTGCTGTTTCTGACTTCATTGCTAAATGAGTCTAACTTAGTTGCTGTATTGTCTTTAATACAGAACATTGTTTGCATCTCATAATGGTTCTCTAAAATTACTCGTTCATGGCTTGAGTTCCAAAATTAAACTATGTAGAGTCATGTCCATCTGCACAATGCATCTTTATGTGAAATCAGCTAGAGTTTTTTGTTTTCACTTGATGTAAAAATGCCAGTTAGGAAGGTTTGTTTCTAATAGTTCAACTGGTATGGTTCTTTCAGTTTCTTCTTTGTTTCTAATGGCAACTAAACTGCTCTCGCCTTGAACATGTTTTGGCAGATAAGCTTCTCACCATGAAGGGCCCTGCTGTGTTTGCACCTGGCATCCTTGTGCTTCTATTTACCTTGGTGCAGAAGAGCTATGGGGAGTGCAAAGAGGCACTGGTAAAGTCTGAGATGAATGTGAACATGAAGTATCAGCTTCCCAACTTCACTGCAGAAACACCCATCCAGAATGTTGTTTTACACAAGCATCATATTTACCTCGGTGCAGTTAACTATATTTATGTTTTAAATGACAAAGATCTTCAGAAGGTTGCTGAGTACAAGACTGGGCCCGTGCTGGAACACCCAGATTGTTTCCCATGTCAGGACTGCAGCCACAAAGCCAATTTATCAGGTGGCGTTTGGGAAGATAACATCAACATGGCTCTACTTATTGACACATACTATGATGACCAACTCATTAGCTGTGGCAGTGTCCACAGAGGGACCTGCCAGCGACATGTCCTTCCACCCAGTAATACTGCTGACATACAGTCGGAAGTTCATTGCATGTACTCCCCACAGGCAGACGAAGAGCCTGGCCAGTGCCCTGACTGTGTGGTGAGTGCCCTGGGAACCAAAGTCCTGATATCTGAAAAGGATCGGTTCATCAACTTCTTCGTGGGCAATACCATAAATTCCTCGTACCATCCAGATCATTCATTGCATTCGATATCAGTGAGAAGGCTAAAGGAAACGCAAGATGGTTTCAAGTTTTTGACAGACCAGTCTTATATTGATGTTCTACCTGAGTTCAGAGATTCCTACCCTATTAAATATGTCCAGGCCTTTGAAAGCAATCATTTTATTTACTTTTTGACAGTGCAACGAGAAACTCTAGATGCTCAAACTTTTCACACAAGAATAATCAGGTTCTGTTCTGTAGACTCTGGATTGCATTCCTACATGGAAATGCCTCTGGAGTGTATTCTCACAGAAAAAAGAAGAAAGAGATCCACAAGGGAGGAAGTATTTAATATTCTCCAAGCTGCATATGTCAGTAAGCCTGGGGCCCACCTTGCTAAGCAAATAGGTGCTAACCTGTATGATGACATTCTCTATGGAGTGTTTGCACAAAGCAAGCCAGATTCTGCTGAACCAATGAATCGCTCTGCTGTCTGTGCATTCCCTATCAAATATGTCAATGAATTCTTCAACAAGATCGTCAACAAAAACAATGTGAGATGTCTTCAACATTTTTATGGACCCAACCACGAACACTGCTTTAATAGGGTAAGTCATATACATTTCCCACTTATAAATTATGAGGTATAAGTCAGAATAAGTAGCAGTCTAGAAAAGAGCATCAAGGGCTTTTTGGTGCTTGGTAAATGATCTTTATCCAAAATATTTGTATATTCTTTCCAAGAAAATTTAGATATTGAATCTTCATTTAAATATAAAATCATAGCTTGAGAAAAAGTTAATGTGGTTCTAAAAGAAAAAGTATTTTACAGTTTGGGTTTACATGTTTGTCAGCACTTTAGATTATTAAACTTATTTCTCATATAAGCTTTAATAGTTCTGGTCAGATTTACACAAAGCTTAATATAACAGCAATTCCTATAAAATGCAATTATTGAGATCCCAATGCAATCTTTACAGGATTTAGAATGAGAAGCTCAAGTTAATTTGTGGGTTTTGAAGGTTTTTTCCTTATGAGGCCCCATTCATTCACTGATAAATGAATGGTTTATATTTTGGGCATTATATAAAGAAAATTAAAAACAAACAAAAAAATCTCTTGGTAATGTTGGTAAATAAAATGTTGGTAAATAAAATATTTTTAAATGAGCTAATACACTTCTCTGAATAACTTAGAAAACTAGAGAGGAAACTTTTGTTTCTAAATCCTTCCTTTGGAACTTGCATGGACTTTCTACTTGAATAAACATGTGTCTACCACCTTCTAGTTAGGTACTTTTTACCTGGTTGGTATTTGATATTTATAAATACAAATATTTTGATCAATACTTGTTTATACCTACATGAGATGGTATTTTCACAGGAGATGTTAGGGACGTTCTTTGTTGCTTTGATTTAGATATAGTAAAAGCTACCAGCTATACCCAGAGGATTTCTTTTACTAGCCATCAGATCATTTGGTGCTAGAGGAAGAGCACCAAATCAGGAGTACATTGTGGCCTTGGGCTCCCTTGGTTTGGCCACATTCGAGCATGTGAACCTGGCTATATCTCCTAACACAACAACCACTAGTGGTCATAATTGGATGAACAATGAACAAACCATCTAAAGATGGTTTGACTTTGGAAAACCACATCTCGCTACTTTAGAAGTTTTCAGTCTCAGTAATAAAGGCTGTAATTGTAAGCAGAAGGACATTAAACATATCCTTGATGAAAGTATATAATTTGCTGAAAGGCACCAAGAACATATGAATTCAGAAACATTTGGTTCACTTTTGCTGAAATATCTGCTATACTTCCCCAAATGGAAGCTCCAAATAATGTTTTTTTAAGATTTTATTTATTTATTTATTTATTTATTTATTTGAGAAAGAGAGAGAGAACTCATGTGAGCAGGGGAAGAGGGAGAGAAAGAGAGAATCTCAAGTAGACTCCCCTCTGAGTGCAGAGCCCCACAGGAGGCTCAGTCTCATGACCCTGAGATAATGACCTGAGCTTAAATCAAAAGAGTCAGATGCTTAACCAACTGAGCCACCCAGGCGCCCCACCAAATAACTTTTTATAAAGCTAGAAAAATACTTCTGAGAAAGTGAATTCATGTTTTAGTGAACTAAAGACATAACTTCCCTCCTTTCCCCTCCAAAGTCTAGGAATAAAAAATAATATACATGCATAAATCCCAACTAAGACTTATTTCTCCCTGCATTCATGTCATACATGTTGCAAACTCTGTAAGAAGCAACAGAATTCCTCCTGAGGCTGCCTCTTTTCTTCACTAGAAAATACAAAAGAATGAAAGGAAACAAAAGGACTTTCAAAAACCTGGAATTAGGGGAAAAATGTAACATTAATAGCATTCCAGAGAAAACACTTTTTTTGTATCCAATAATTGCATCAGAAACACAAGTTTAAAAAGATTCTATTAGGAGTTCCTCCAGGGCCTTTAAAGCACATGACTTTGCTATTTAAATCATGTTCTGTTAAAAATTAAAAAGAGACTTTACCTTATGAGGGTATATTGATAATCCTATTTCATTATTTTATTTTGTACATTTCCACCCTCTGATGTAAAAGTACTTATCAATTCTAGAAATTGTCAAATACACTTGAACTTTTCTACCCCTTTCACTCTTTTAGTGTTCCAAGGAAAACAAAAAGGCAGGCAGGATTATCCAATGAAATTCAGGTCAGTTTTATCACCCAGGAAAAAAATGCCCAAAATGCACCAACTGCACCTGAAATCATTATCATTCCCATCACAAAAATTCCTGTGGAAAACAAGATGGAGCTTGCCAACATAGTCTTCTTACAAGGGAAGCCAACTTTTGCACTGGCCACATTCCATAAAGACAAATACCTTCAAACCTTTTCTACTTATTTGCCTGTTTATCTTCTCTGGTTACTAAAGATCAAAATTCTTCTGAGAATGAGACTACCCACATTCTCAGTTTTCATATACCAGTCCACAAAAAGACCTCAGATTGTTTCAGCCATCAGCATACAATCATTTCCTAGCTTCATCTTGAAATGAAGACACCGAGAGAGCCATTACTCACACAAAACAGAATGATTTACAAAATCAAACCTGTTTGGAAAGACTAAGCAATAAGATGACTCCATTTTGTCTTGGCAACTTTACTTGGCAAGATATCAGGTGACACTTTTAACAAATTCTTGGAACTGAGCTTTTGTTTTGGCATAAAGTTTGGTGAATAAACACATATTGTAGTTTTGTTATTAATATCTCTAATCCATCAGATCTTTATGGAGGGACTGTTGTGTGCTCTGTAGACAAAGAAAGCTGCAGCAGTAACTTTCTGCTGAGGCTTCTGCCTGGTCCCAGTGTGTAAGCAAAGCCATGGCAGGGGTTTTCTGGCCCTGTCTGAGCTTCTGCCATGTACAAAGAGGGTTTCTGTCACAGGATCAGACAGAGAGAGTACCAAGAAAGAGCGTCTTTTAAATTCTAGGGGTCAAGCCAGTATGTAGGCCTGATTTGCTTATTTCAGATCACATATTTGGTTGCTTTTCCCACTCTCACATTTTATGACACACATCTATGCAGACTCTTCGTATACTGCTTCTTATATTGATGACATCAAATCATCTCTTTTGAGTCATTTGATAGTTTCCAGAGCACATCATCTTCATATCTAAGTTATGTGTGTTTCAGAACTTTTTGATTCTGCTTTTGATGTTGTTTCTAGAAAATTATCCTAAGTCACAAGTACCCATTCGTGTAATATTAGAGTTGATTGTATCAGTTCAATAAAAATAAATTCTTGATCTTCACAATATAACCATTTTCTGTGTTGCTTTTGAAAGTGATTCTTAAGGGATACGTTTACAGTGATTTCTAACACTTAGAATTATGAGATTACATACCCACAAATAATTACTAAATCTTTAGTCTTAAATATCTTTACCACCTTTTTTTATTCATTCATCATTTGACTTCTGTAAACATCCTAAACTGGTATTTGATTAAAGTTGTTTTAGTCTAATGCATATTCCCTAAACAGCACATTACTATTCAAAATAAAATAGTTGAGAAACTATCCCATAATATGGAGACTTTGTAAATCCCCAAATATCCCTCACTTTCTCTGTGGGGATAAACAGTTTCAAAATTCAGTTCATTTTAAGCACATTGATGGGACTCTTCAACAGTATCATACATATAAGGGATTTACTAACATGACAATTATTCTAGGAAAAAAACAGAATCAGTACACCTTCGCCCAATTTCCTACAAATGAGATCAATATTGACTAAAAAATTTTTTAATCCCTAAATCGTAAAGGTCCTATTCCCTAAATTATACTTACTAAGAGAAGTGGATTAATACATTTTGGAGAGATTTTCAATCAGAATTGAAATTTGGAAAAGGTTCCTTGAAATATCTCTCATCTAACCAGAAAATACAATTAATCACATTACACTTTTTCTTGCAATTCCAATATAAAAGTTTTGCTCTATATGTAAGTATTTGAAAGAATTAAAAAAAAAAAAAGAGTAGACTTGTAGTAAAAAAATATTTTCACCAACATCTTAATGACAAATGATTGATCAGTTGAAGGGGAGAAACATGCAGTTTGGTACCAGTATACCTAGATGCAAGTTGCAGCTTATTACATACCAGTTGTGTGACTTTTGCTGCATGACTTGACCCTTAGAGCCTCAGGCTCCTCATTTGTAACACGAACACAACAAAACCTACTTCATAGGGTTTTGTAAAATTTGGGGATAATATATATAAAGTTCCTAGCACAATAAGATGACCATAAATTTAGCTCTTTGGGAGACAGCATGGCCTAAAGGAACAAGACTGAAGTCAAAGAGATCTGGGTTCAGATGTATACTCCACCATTTTATACCTGTCTGGTCACAAGAGCTTTATTTAAACTCCCTGAACGCATCTTCCCTCCATGCAGGGCATTGGGAGAACAAGTGCAATAATGTTTACAAAAGACCCTAACTTAGTCCTTGGCACATAATAAATAGCAACTATTATTGTAAGGAATACTTATGTGAAGAAAGACAAATTTAAATTATTGAATTTTCTGGAAGAGGCACACTCTGATTCTACTGCTCATGAAGGTCTTTCACTTACCTCCCTACCTCTTATGAGTGACCCACCTCCATAATACTTCATTTGTGTAAATCCTTCTTAAAACTTAATAGTTCAAAAAAAATAAATAAATAAAAGAGAGAGAGAGGGGAGTGGTGGTGGTTTGGGCTGGAGAGAAAGGTAATTGAAACAGAATTGTACCCTAGTCAAGCCAGAAGGTATAAGGTGTTCTTCTTTCCCCAACCTTCCATTCTAACTACCCATAACACTGTAAGATATTGTGCCTCTGTAACTTAAATTATACTGTGCATTCAAGAGATTGCAGATAACGCAGTTTTAGAAAAAGTCAACCTCACAGGTTGTTTGTACCAAGCTTCCTTGTTTTTAGATATCATTTATCCTCAAATTCAAAGAGTAGCCAACCACTTCCCAAAATAAAGGAAACTTAAAGTAGTAATTTTCCATCTCCGTTTCAAGGAGTGCCAAAGTTAAAGGGTCACCACTCAGAGCCATCAGAG